TTGCATGTCCGGTTGCCACTTTTGCTGATGCGCGTTCGTCACGCGGTCTACTTCTGTGTCGCGCGCCATGGCCACTGCGCTTGACTTCTGCTTGTCTGACTTGCAATTATTCTGCAGACTTTGAGTTGTGAAGCCTACTTGTTGTGATGGTGAATCCACTTCCGATCCGACAGGTCAACTTGAGCAACGTTGGTCAAAAGCTCCAGGAATTTAAGCAGTCCCTCTTGAATCACCCTGTGAAGGTGATACTTACTTTGGTCTTTGGAAGTTGCCTTGGGGTGCCACTTCTCAAGAGGCTTGGCTACAACTTTTTTGGTGGCCGTGGACTTTTTGATCCACATTTTGCTCTTCCCACTTGAGCTGGTGCTAGGGAGACTTTCAGAGAGCAACCGCCGCAAGGCAGAGGCTTACGTGCTCAACACCGTTGAGATCCTTTTGAGGCCACTTGCCATCTTCATCGACTTTCTGAGGGCAGGTGTCGAAGTGATACTTGCCAGCCGCACGTCGGTCATCCGGGCACTTGTACTTAAATAGCCACGGCTGACGGCGGAGAAGTACTTTTTCAAAGGGATTTGCGCAATTTCAGGCAAAACCCTGCCTGGAACTTCAATGCTTATCTGGTTATCCACTGTTTATTCACGCACACTTTTCTCTGGAGCGCAAAAGGAGAATTTGCAACTTGGATACTTGTTGGTGTCTGCTGGTGAGCGCTGCAATCTGCCGGCGAACTTAATTCTGCCACTTGTGTTTCCAGTATTTTTTAGGCGATGTGCTAAGCAATATCTATTTTCTCTTCGAGGCCCACTTCTTCATGAGGAGCACTGTCACGCATATTAGAAAGATTCTGCTTGGTCAACGCGGTGTTGACTCCATGCCTTTTCTGACTTTGCAGCCTGACTTTGTTCCTTTTACAATGTGGATTGTTTTTCCAGAGCCAACTTGGGTGTCAATGCTGCAGAGGTTTACACTTCGTGGCTACTTTCAAGTGCTGTCGGAAAATGTTCCATGGACGGCTGACTTTGAAGGTCACCCGCATCTGAGTTTGGCTTTTTCTCCACGCTCAGCGCTAACCTTTTTTCTGCTGTTGAACTTGCATTATCATCATCAGGATGGCCATGACTTTGCCCATGGCGTTGCGCATTTTGTTGTACTTGGTTTTGGTTTGTGGTACAACAACTTTTTGCAGATGATGTCAGCTCGTGGTCAGTTTTGGAACCGACAATATATTGACTTTTTGTTGAAGGTCAAAAACTTGTCCATCACGGACCCACTTGAGATGCATCGATGATGACGTTGACCAGCCCGCGAGGCGAGTCACTTTGGAATCTTGGTGCACTTTACAATTCCCAAACTTCAAGAGGCTATGTTCATACTTTGGTGAGGGGCCAGCTTTGATGGCCCCTTATTAGATTCCTTGCTGGATCCAGCACTTCTGGCAAGGTACGTTGGACCACCTGCTTCTGCAATAAGAAGAGCGCGACTGTGAGCTGAAAACTTCTTGGGTAGCTGCACTTTAATGGGCCTGCCTACTTGACATGTGGCAGCTGCACTTTGATGGGCCTACCACCTACTCTCCTGCAGTCAGCAACTTGTGAGTCACTTCCTTCAGGCGGTTCACTTGTGACTCTGGCTACAACTTTTCTGCGTTGTGTTAGTAAATTAAGGCAACAACTTGTCTTTTGCACTTGCGTTTTTGTTAAAACAACTTTTGAGGCAGCATCTGCAACTTGTAATTGTTCGGGTAATTAGGCCCTCCTTCTGCGAAGCAACTCTTCAATTAGTGCTGAAGTGCACTCAGTTGCATTGAAGCCTGCGCTCAGTGCTTTTGGGCAGTTCTTCTTAACTTGCATCGACTTTTCCTCAGGATGCAAAAGTGACAACTTCGGTGTGATCACTTCAGT